AAATTCTTGATTTTATGTATTCACTAAAATAATGATAAAGTCTGTGCTAATTAGCTTTGCCTGGGATGATGCTCTCCATATTGTCCAGTTAGAAATAAAGTAGGGAAACATAACAAATCAAGATGCTCTTGCCTATTGTCTGTAGGCACTTCTTTTACATTCATTTGTTTATATTGACTGATATCAGAACCTGTTCCAATTTTACTATCAACATTTCTAATTGTATATGCCGAAAGGCCTTCTAAATCTTGATCGCTTGCTTTTTCAAGCATTTTACAAGTAGTATTGCTGACTACTTGTATAACATTTTTAGACGATTTGTCAATTGAATCATCGTCTACACTTCTATAAGGCCAATTTATTTCTTTTAATTTTCTTAGTGCTGCTTTTATTTTATTCACATCAACTAGTCTACGCCAGTCATTATTTCATTTAGTAGGCTGTCCATTGATAATAATATAAAGTTCTGGATTAGGCAAATGATTAGAATCTACACCAATCTCATTTAAAGTTTCCATTGTTTTTTCTAATGGAAGGGGTAAATAAAACATTGCACCTTTAAGAGCCTTCAAAGAATTATATGTAGTCACTTTTATGGTGCGTGTACCTAGCCTAACAATTGTCTGAAAACAATTGGCTCTCTGTATTAACTGGCAACTCAAAGGATCCAAATTTTCCAATTCTTTTGGTAATGGATCACACTTAAACCCATTGAGCACACAACACTCTGGAACTTCATTTTCCCTAATAATAGGTTTACAATGATTACAAATATACATAACTTTATTTAATGACGTAGGATCATTCTCTCTAGAGTAATCTAATAGGATATTCCAAACATTGCTAACTAAATTTTTAGCTTCAGTGACAGACTTCTTTCTTAAAAGCTTCTCACAGCTGCAACATACATTGACAGCCTGATCAAACAAAGCTTTCTTAAAATCATCAATAGCATCTGAATGCTGAAAATAAAGTACAGTATCTAAGTTTGGTATTCTAAATGGGTCATCTTTGCCATCATTTATAGCGTAATACACATTATCAAATTCAGTCTCATTGGCTTCATTAATTTCAATCTATCAGTTGTGATATATCACCATCAGCAAGGGAAGAATCAAAAATATCTATTGTTAAATGGGCATTTCTAGCAACATAAAAGTGTTTTAAAAGGCGTCTCAACAAAGGATAATGAACAGATGCATTGCGTAAAATACGCAGCATACTTTTACATTCAGTATCATTACTACTACACACAATACGATGGCCTATCCTTTCACAAACAATTTCAGAATATTTAAAATATTTATCAACATTATTTTCATCTTTTTTAACAATTATTGTTACATTTGCATTATCACTGAAATCATGTTCATGCACTTGATATATTTCTTCAACATGCAGGGATCTTGTCATATAATGAGTATTACGACAATTATCACATGCATCTAAAAGCTTCCTCAATTCTTTAATGGGTTCATCAAAATAACGTCTAACTTCAATAATAGAACTAACGTCACTTTCTAATAAAGGCTTGCACCTTTCTGTATAGTGCTATTTGAGGGCAGGCTCTCTCTTATTAGTATAAATTCTATTATTATCAAAATTGTCATCTTCAGAGTCACTATCATCGCTACATTCTTCTGCTCTGTCAATACATGATACTTCAACAATCCCTGCTACATAACAGATGCCTTTTGTATCAACAGGGATTGCAATTGGACTATCTAATTGGCTATCATGATCATCATTAGGATATACCGTATAGCAGGAAATGTTTGCGGGGAATTAAATTTTGCGAGTTTGCGATTCCATTTAAAGCGCAAAATTTAAATCCGCAAAATAATGAAATTCATGCATGACCACAGTAGATAATACTACAATAACTGTCAAAACCGCAAATATTTAATCCGCAAACCAGGTTATTTTTAAGGATTCGCAAAATTTTTCTCCGTAAAATTAACCAGCTGTACGGTATATATGCTGATTCATAAAAATAAGGCTCACTAATTTTTGCGTGACATGGCTCACCAAAATCACTTAAGCTATTTAACTTAAATTTCCTAATGCTATTTGCTGCACGTATCAATATGCCTACTTTGTGGGATCTGTTTTTCAAAACTGATTCTAACAATATACTTGATGCAGCATTACATTTATTGTCATATAATGTGTTCTCAAAATCTACACCTTTCATACTTGATGGCAATGTATCATCAACAATTTTAGGGCTGTAATATAATCCTTCTTTAATTTTTATAAAATAATATTCCTTTGCTTCACTATTTGGTGCAGGTAATGAGTAATTAGAACGTAATCTATACAATAGTTGACCATAATAACGTTCATAATATACTTTATTTAGATACATTTTATTTTCCTTATTTAGTGCTATTCTTAACTTATCCATTTCATTATCAGATAATTTATAGGGAGAAAAAAAGGAAAGGGCAGGCTATGGGAAAAACATATAGATAAAATGGCGCGCGAAGCGCACAGCCGATATGGCCACGCTCACTTTTACACCCGCAAAATGGGCGTGTCCTTGCAATATGGCACATCCATAGATATTAGAGTATCTATGGCGCATCATAATCCTTTGGCAATGTAAGTATTCTACAATAGTAATTCAATACTATAACATCATGATTAACAATTAAGATTTCTGGTATCAGGACATTAAGAGTGTATTTATTTATAATTAGGATTTTAGGAATTTGTCCAAATTGAGTTACTCGTAAGAATTTGTCTTCCTTCTGTCTTGTCCACTCTGACAGAACTAAGGCTGGATCTACATTAATATCCTTATATATATATGAAGGTGCATTCTGGCCAGACCTGTCAGTCGAGACTTGGTCATAGTTGAACGCAGCCAGGTTTTGAGACGTCTTAGGCAGCTAAAGCTTTTCTCTGCTGTGGCTGTACTGACAGGTAGGGTTAGGAAGACATGAAAAACTTTGATAATATCAGGATCAGTTGTGAGTGAACCAACATTCAGAGACCATTTCATTTTCCACCTTTCAACTTTCTGAGTGAAGACAGCTGCATTTGGCAAGTCAGCAGCACATGAGAAGGCTTCAAATATTTCCTTAATCGTACTGGTGTCATGGAGATTTGAAACATTGCTAGGCAAAATATGCTCCACCAGACAGTACTTTTTCAACTCTGGTGACAAAGACGGGCCTGAATTTCTTGTAGTAAGTGGTCTAGGAAAGGGTAGTACATACTTCTTCTCCAATACTCTTCCAGTGTTTGTGAAGGTATGGTAGATCTAAAAGCTAGTCGTCCAGCTACTCTACGAGGTACTGTTTCCTCTACACCAACTATTAGTACAAAAGACTTGGCTTCTTCATATAGGCAAGAGAAAGCTATATCATTGCGTTTTTTTTTTCAGACATTCAATGGCAACTTTTGCTTCCTTCATTGCCTCCAACAAATTACAATTAATAGTCTGAAGAAAAGTAGAGAGATTAACAGTATAGCGTA